GAGAGAGAGAGAGAGAGAGAGAGAGAGAGAGAGAGAGAGAGAGAGAGAGAGAGAGAGAGAGAGATTTATTTTATTTTTATTTTTTATTTTAAATCTGAAAATCAGAAAAACAAATAGGAAAAAAAGAAAATCATATTAACAGGGGAAAATCAGTCATTTAAAAAAAAATCAAAACAGATTTGACCAAACAAGCAACAAAATGAAAACTTTGGAACTTTGGTGCTAGTCCAAAACTTTTTGGACCAAAGTGGCAATTTTAAGCAAATCACAGGGACCATCTGTGCAGTTTAGTCTTTTTTGAACATACATACCCGGATATTCAAATAAAAATACATATTTATTTTAAATAATCAAGACAAAAGTTTAAAAAAAATTAAATGTTATTAATTTTAAAAAAAAATTATAAATTTTTTACCCGTGTTTTTCACGGGTTATAACCTAGTGTGTAAATATTCTTAGTTAGTAAATTTGTGTATCACACATGCTCCGATTTATACTCAACTTAAAAGATCATCGAAGAGTTTCCACATATAAGGGTATTTTCCATTGACTTCATATTTTCAAAACTTTGACCAAGATGAAGTCTTCAATTGTACTTTAAAGTTTAAACCTTGTCATTCATGCTGTAACAAGTTTTACCATAAGCATCTGAGATTGGAACTTCATCTTGGACTAGTAGTCCATGACTCGTTCAATGCTTTTGATAAGGGGTTTGGTAAAACAAACTTATCAGTCTGTGAATCATGCAAGACTGTAACATTGTTTAACTGTACTGGTAATGTACTTTAGTTATGACTTTATAATATATTTTTTGTTGAATATTCTTTTTGATTTTGTTTGAAATATATAAAAATATTATAAATTACGTTTATAGCCATCACACAATAATATTTGTTGGCAAGCATAATAATATTTTTGTTAGTGTAGCAAGATATATTTATTCGTATTACTGTATTACTTGCATCAATGACTTTTACAGTTTAATTTACATAATATAAAATCTATTATTCGGTCTATATTTTATGATTTTATAACTAGTTAATATGTTGATAATGTTAAAACGCTTTGAGTCGAGTTGGTCGACCCATCAACAGTTCAACACCGTTTATCTATATATAATATAATATTATATATATATATATATATATATATATATATATATATATATATATATATATATATTAATACTATAACTATCTATTAATATGGCCGGATTTTTTTAATAAATCAATTTATAAAGCGTGTGCATTTATTTCATTCTGGACAATTTTCAAATAATTCAAATCATCTCTTTAACTAAAACTTTTCAATTGGCAGATCGATTAACACCAAATGGCTTCTAGCCCATCGGTATCAAGTGTTGTCCTTCCTCCTTGAGGTTGAGGGTTCAAGTCTCGTTGGAGACATAGGTGCATTTAAGAGTAGTTTAGGATTTATATTATATTTGCAGTTAAAATAAAACAAAATAAGAAGATAGCAGAGAAGAAAACAACTACAAGATCGTTGCATGCGCGTTTATAGATATTGTTGACTTGGTCACCTTCACTATTTATAATTTATAATAAAATATTTTTATTAAAGTATATATGAAAATTTACAATCTTCCAAAGTCAAGATCGTCCAAGCTGAAAGTTTAAGGCTTTGGTTGACTCTTGGGAACAAGGATATGTGAGTCAGCGATTTAAATTTCAAAGAAACGACTTCTTTTGCTTTATAATTTATTGAACAAAGAATTCTCTTTTGGACATTTATGACTTTTTACCCATTTTCTACGCCATTGGTTGTTATTTATTCAACCATTCTTTTCATAATTGAATGCAAACAAACTCTTCTCCTCTCTCAGTTTGTATATCTTTGTCTAATCACCGTTTTTTTAAAGCAAGTAGTCTGAAATGGCTGAAAGACTCACATATAATCAGATCAACGAGTTTCGTCAAGCATTTTCCATGATCGATAAGGATTCCGATGGTATGTTTATGTTCTCTTTCTTTTATTTATTTATTTCAGAAAATGTGTAACTGGTTTAAGTTGCTTAATGTCTTCGAATCTTGTTGTGTCGTTATGTTAATAGGGTTGATAAGTACGGATGATTTGATTGCTGTGATTCAGACGTTGAATGAAAATGCTACTAACGAAGATGTCCAAGAAATGATGAACGAAGTTGATCATGGAAATGAACAAGGCACTATTGATTTTGATGAGTTTCTCAGTATCATGTCCAAAAGAATGAAAGTAAGTACTTGTCTTTTTTTTTTTTTCCTTTCTCACAAATAACGAGGCAAATAAATAAATTAAACACGAAGTAAGTGTCCCATTATGTTGTTATAAGTTTATAATGCCTATTTGTTATACTAATGATTTACGGGAATTAACAGGATAGCGTGAGCGACGAGCTAAAAGAAGCTTTTAAAGTATTTGATCGAGATCAAGATGGCTATATTTCACCAGATGAGGTAACTATTACACTATATATATTGTACTATATAACAAATATAATGAAAACTTATTTATTCCAAAACTATATAATATAGGATACAAATAATTAATCTATTACGGTATGCAGTTAAGAAACGTGATGATAAATTTGGGGGAGCGATTAAAAGATGAAGAGTTGGAACAGATGATACGAGAAGCTGATCTTGATGGTGATGGTGTTATTAGCTACGAGGAATTCGTTAGGGTTATGATGAATTCTTCATGAAGAAGATAAACAACAACAATTTTACTTTGTGCTTTGTGCTTTTCATAATAAGACTAAATTAACTTAATCTCGTAAACCATGCATTCAAACGAGATAATTTTTTATTTTCTTTCTTATTTTATATTCTCACTTTCCGATATTAAGTTACCTTTTTTCGTTTTTTTTTTTATTTTAATTTGTACTTTCACATGTTGTAAAAAGAAAAACAAGGGAACGAAGAAGGTTTTTGTGGGATCCTAATCTTTTCTCGTTATTTTCGTACGGATTGAATATGACATGGAAAAAACGGAATACGTTATTTTGTACTTTTTGTATTTTATTCATTACGTAGTTGAATAAAGTATTTATGAATAAAAAAAGAACTCTACTTTATACCCACATCAAATGTATGGTTTTCGTGAAAATTTAATTATTTAAGCATATAATTTGATGAAAGATGCAAATATTTCCGTTCTTATTAGTAATTTAATATTATGTAACTTAACTAACATTACAAATCAATATGATTAAATAACGTTAGACGTAACTTAACGACAAAATTAAGTCTCAAGTTTTTACAAGTAATGACGAATCATATCATTTGTAAGACATTACTTAAGACGACTATATTTAACATATAATAAATAATTATATATATTTTTTTAATTTTGTTTATTTTTATATGCATATATGACTTAAGGTGACATTTTGTTAAAACGTAATGTCAAATACAAATCTTTTAGTCATGACACACCATAAAGAATACATGACAAACTTTTTAAAATCCTTCTTTCAAATATTTATCCTAAAAAACCACAATCACTTATTTTCTTTTTGGTTAATGCCGTAAAAACCCTTAAGTTTTTAGGTTTTTTTCGGTTTTGCTCAAAGTTGGATTTTATGTCCGTTTTTGTCCTCATATTTTCCAAAAAAATGTTCGGTTTTCTCCTTTTTACCAGTTATAACATGTTTTCCATGCACTTACCATTATATTAACTTTGCAAAAAAAACCCCTTAAGTTTACAACTTTTTAAGTTTTTACCTTTAAGTTTATAATTTTTTACGTTTCTACCGTAAGTATTTTTTTTTCATATTATATGTATTCATGCAGAAAAATCGTATTTATATACGAAAAAATGTTTTATTAAATATTGCATTTATGTTCTTTTTAAATGTTATATATATAT